AGCATTGCTCAGGAGCTGCGTAATTCAAGCACAATTCAGATTTGTTCGAAAAGATCATAACGGGGGACGAAATACGAATATGCGGTTGTGACGTCGAAACCGAAAGCCAATTATCCCAACGGAAACGGACAGGAGAGCCAACATCGAAAATAGGACGCCAAGTTCGGTTAAATGTGAAAATTTTGCTCATAGTTTTCGATTAAAATATCGCATCATGAGTTCCTGCCAAAAGATCGTACGGTCAATATGGAACATTACCTTGAAATTACGCACGATTTGCGAGAGATAATATGGAAAAAAATACCCGGAGTCGAGGAACAACCGGTCATTGATATTACACAACGATGATGCGCCAATTCATACACCACTGCTTCTTCGTAATTTTTTAGACAAAAGCAACTCTGTAATCATGCTTTTGCTTGCCATTGTATTCGCCGAATTATGCCGCGACGCCTTTGTGTTTGCAAAATTGAAAAGATCCACGAAAAGGTGGAGTTTTGCCACGATTAAGGAGATAAGGACTGCACCACTGGACGAGCGCAAGGCCCCACGAAAAAGCCCATGTCGAACCATTAGCTTAGCAGTGTCCATGTATACCTTCTCTTCAATTTGTTGAGTAAGGTCTTTAGAGTTAAATAGGTCTTTGTGCAGTGAGGCCTGGGAGGAAAGTGATGGCCACTGACAGATTCGGCTTAACCCGAATATAATTATTTTACATATATTTGCAGAGAGGTAGAGCTAATTTATAATGAGGGCATGTTGTTGCACTTAATTTAATAGAAGTTAAAGGTTTAACATTTTAATTAAAACAAACGCATATCAATAAATTAAAATTTCGCAATTTTTCCTACTTTTGATATATTGAAAAAGAACAATCATTTTAAAACAGCAATGCAATAACATACAAAATAGAAAAGTATAAAATGAATGCGGGGAAAAAATATTCTTCGTAAAAGTTAGAAATACTTTTTATTTTAAAAGCCAGAAACGCTTTTTTTTTTGTAATTTGAAAGTATTTATGATTTGCATGACTTGCAGGTGAATATAAGAGAAATCGCCAGAATGTGTCATCCTATTCAAGTGTGTGTATGGGCACATATTTCCTTTACATCTGTACCAATTTCGTCAAATCGTTTGTAACACCGAGGAGGAAGCCTCGGAGATCCCCTTACAGCCCCCATATTTTCTCGATCAGCATTGATGTTTGAATCGATTTAATCGCGCTACTTTATCCGCCTGTCTGTCTCCCAGCCTCTCCATCCGTGTAATAATGTTTGCGGTAAAGACTCTCTTTGCAACAGAAATGAATGAAAATACTGAAAATGGCATAAACCGGTCCAAGGATGCGCGCGTAGGGCAACATAAACTGAGAATACCTCGGTTTTCCATTGCCAACCGCAGGAATTAAGATGGTTGGTGGTTGAATATCTGCTATACATTACAATTAATAGCTATAGGTTATAAGCTGTAACACAAATTTGAACTTGTGCAGAACTTGCTGTTTATAGTAGATGTTAATTGACAATAGGATCGACCTTCACAAACTTTACGTCTTTTACTTGACATGTATTGCTCTTGCTTTCATTTTTTTCATATTTTTATTTTACCCATTTATACATGAAATTCAACTAAACAAAATTACGGTCGACTTCAGTGCATCTTAATAGAATATTTTATACTAATTGTTTTAGATCTAGTATACAATAAAAAGGAAGAAAAAAAAAAAATAATAATAACAAAGTAAGTTTAAAAATAAATTGAAAAGTTCAAAATAATAATTCATGTCTAAAGAAATGAAAAGAGAGAAAAAAAAAAGAAAGAAGAAAAAAAAAAGCATGTACACAGCTAGCACAGAAGCACGCCGGCAACAAGAACAGAGCCAGATTGCAAGTGAACCCCTAAACCATTGCAAACATGCATAAGCTTGGCAATCAACACGTTAAAAGCACAATATTATTTTAAATACAAAATGAGATATTAAGGATGAAATGTTAGTTTAAGTACGACATAGGTAAATCGCTCATGTTAAGCAAAGTCGCTTTAATAGACTTTAAAGAGTCTGATAATGAGAATAAGTGATAGACATCATTTAGGTTTCTGCAAACACCTCTGAGCGGATTAAACACCTCATAATTGTATTTACATTGATTAAGCTTAATCAAAATGAAGTGTCTAGAGAAGCGGTTAGGGACATTAAAGCTTATCTCATCAAGCAATGCGGACGAGTCAATAGTACCATTTACTACTTTGATTAAGAAGGAAACTCCGAGAAAAAATCTACGTTTCTCACGTGACGGTAAGGATAATAAAAGCAACCTATTTTCATAGGGTGGAAGAGAGGCAATCGGATCCCAACCCAAATTTCTAAGGGCAAACAGCAAGAATTGCTTTTGAACAGATTCAATGGAATTTACACCTACCTATATGAAGGAGACCACACAACGGAGGCATACTCGAGTGCAGGCCTAACCAAACACATGTATAGACTTTTCGTAATGTACAGATCATCAAGGTCTTTGGACCACCTCTTTACTATATTGTAGAATGACGACGGTAAGCTATCAATACTTCCAACTGAGAAATCAAGCATAATATGTGAAAGATGTGATTGTAGCATTGAAACTTTGATATTATGGAAATCATAAAATTTATTTGCAAAAGTTGAATTTGGAACGTTATAGAAGTTCAAAGAATCATCATGCTGGATAATATGGATCCTCAGGTAAACTAAAAGGAAGACAACGATCAACGCAAATCTCAAGAAAATGGGCAAAGGTAAAGCAAATGAAAGCAGCTTGTTTTTCAAATATGGAGATGTCCGAATTTGGGGGAATATAGGAGCAGGTTACATATAAGTGTTTATTAGGGAATTTCGATGGAACGGCGATAAATTCAAAGTCGAGAGTAGTAGGAAATTCAATTGAATAGGAGGGGAATGTCGCAGATATGACAATTAAAACACCACCACCATAGTATGATCGATAATTTCTGAAAACTTGACACGAATTATGGAAAACTTCCGACGAATGTAGATCAGGCCTTAACCGTTCAGGAGGAACAAAGTCCTTAATTAAGGATCCAACCGGCTACAATGGTTTATTTAACAACGTATCCATGTTTTCAGTCAAAACTAGAATTTTAAAAGACGAGATTGTTCTAGGTTGAGAAGGAGCTAATTTGAAAATTCTAACACCCTTTAAATTGACAGATGGGACAGTCGCCGCCAGATAACTTTTTATGTTATCCACAGATTTGTCGGGTGCCAGTCTTGACAGAAATATTGCCTTTCTGGTAGAAACTGCCTTTGAGCAAATGTCATCTGTACTAAGAGCAGGTTAACGGATGGGGAGTTTTGAGTTGTGGAGAATATAGAAGGGGTAACCACACTTGCACGAGCAGTTTGTGCGAAGTGCCCAGTTTGGCGACCAGCGTCCATACTCGGACAGCCAGGGGGAGAGGACGATTTACTAATCGCATCGGGAGGAGATACCCTTACTACTTCAGCATTGCTCAAACCAGAAGGCCTTTCCGGCTTATTTGTAACTTTTTTGTTATCGACCGGCTCAACAATAGCAGAAACGCTAACGTTCTTTGTAGACTTTGAGGAATCGCTAACTTGCACCAACGAATCCGATTTAGAAGAACCCAGAGGTGACGAACCATACGTTACGCTACGAGTTCTAACTTTGCTAGCTGAGGAAGAAGATGAGTGCGCAATATAACGACACTCATCAAACTTAGTCTGAATTATTTTAAAGCCGAGATTTTTGCTCAAATCTGAGAAACAATTTGTTGAAATCTATGTCCCGCATTCTACAGACAGGACATGACCATCGTGAGCCCTTTGAGGGATCAAGGAGGAAGTTTCAGGGCCTGTTTACGCATCACATGGTGTAAATAAACAATCCACGTCCAGTGAAAACAACAAAACGAGCTTATGAAGAACAAAAAACTAAAAGATTCTACGACGCAAATTTTCAGCAAATTTAAGCAAACTTGTCACTTTCGTTCCCACTGTAAGTATAGAACGAAAGCAAAAGAAACTGTAAACAAAAATTAACAGAAAAAAAGAGAGACTTTTACCAAGAGCTGCAATTGTTGATTGCACAAAACGAAATGAATTTTTAACATAAAAGATTGATACAATTCATATGAGTTAAATTCACACTTTATTCTTTTAAAGATTTTTATAATTTAGACACGAATAAAGCCAAAAAGCTAAGAAATACACTAAGCAATTGAAATATTTCTTGCACATAATTAAAAGGCAACTTTAACACGCATGCAGAGTTGCCAAACTAATTACATTCTGCTGGATTGCATTTAGTTGTTCTTTTATCCCCATCAGGGATTGCTTATCACTGTCTTTCATTATCGCTTGCCACGCGACATTTCTAAATTTTTTCGCTCTCTGTATGATTTTTGTTCTGTACATCGAAATCATCACTTTCAAGTCTTTAATGTCATTCTTTATATGTTTTAGCAGGTGAGACGTATTAATCGCATTGTTGCATGGCGACATTTTCACTTACATTTTTTTCTCACTCTATTAAATTCTATGCAAAATCAAATCAACATCAAAACCAAAATGTAAACGAAACGTAAACTAAATCGCATTCAGTCTAAATTCAAATTTAAATTCAGATGAAACTCGATTGGATATTCAAATGATTATAGGAATAATATGTACATATATATACATAAATATATTAATGAGGCATTACTATAGATCTTTGCTTCATTGGGGTTTTTGGTTTGTAAAACACAAGTTATGCATTTGTCTTCTTCCTTATTTTTGCTAATCAAACAGCATAAGAGTTAATCAAAAGTTGAATTGTCAACAAAGTAAGCTAAACAAATACAATATTGCAAGTGTATACAATGATAAGTCAAACATCGATGTGTTCATTATCATTATCAATATTATTATTATTATTATTATTATTGTTATTATTAGTATTATTCAAGACTTTCTCTATTTCTCTTCTTCGTTCACTAACCTTTCAAGTATTGTTCGTTGCGTGCTATCACTTTTTCAGCATTTTTGCGTGCTTGAAAAAACCATTCTGAAGTGTTGCCCAGATAATGATATTCCATTGCTAAATCTTTGGCTAGAATTGCACCCAAATTCGGTGGCGGTAAACGATAAGCAAAAGGGCAAAATAAACCCGGCTGGGCCGGATGTTCATTCCAATCAAAGCAGTTGCCAGCGGCAAAGATATCATCATCGAATTCCACCATTGATAAAACCGAAGCATGCAAGAGATTTATATCCCCTTGAGTAGCTGGTGAGGTCATTTTAAAAATCCTGAAAATATAACAAAGTAAATTAAGTTATTATTTAAGAATGTATGGTAAGAGCTTTCGTATCGGGGAAGTTTCTCTACTACTACTTGTGCTAAGTTCGATGGTTTGAATTATGGGTGTAAATGCAGCAAAAGCTATTTGAGTATAGTTTCTTTACCGCTTTGGATTATCCTTTTCAAGGACAATATATAAAATCATGTATAGCCTTCGACTCTCAAGACATTCTCGAATAAAAATTTTCTCCAGACCAGGCTAAAGGATTCTATCCGATGTTAAAATTTCAACCTATCTCTGTGGTCAGCGTGCAAGTTCATATTTTACGCGATCGCCAAATTTCAATTGTAAATATATGTAGTTATCAGGAATCCTAGTAATCAATCGTTCTATGCACTCAAGCATTTTTTAAATTTACAATAAAAACTTTAAACATAATCGAAGTTATGATGAAAGATGAAAGCAATGCCCAAATGTTACAGACGGAATGTAAAACTTAACATGCTGCTAATGTTCGTTGGCGGGTGTAAAAAGAATCTTTTCTTTTTTTCTGTTTTTCTTTTCTCTCTGCTTTACAGACATCGTCATCATCTTTGTTTTCTATGCTATCTTTTTACAAGCTTACATGTACAGGCAGGCAACATGCTTACTTATAACAATGTAAGGATAACTGTTGTTAAAATCATTACCAGCAACTAACTACTGCACTTATATTTGATGGCCATGAAGTGTTTCAAACCGCTGCACGAGTATAAAATGAAAATAAAAATAAAACCATCGAATACAATGTTCTCCTCTATAAATACACAAACATGGATACAAGGATGTATGCGTGTGTCTGTGAGTGTGTGTGTATGTTAAAGTTTTAAGCGATTATCTTAGTATATATTGTGTGTGAATGCGTATATATGTGGGTTTATGTAGCTATCTTCTTATGTATATATATATGTGTGCCAGTTTGTCCCCGGTGTAGCATCCGTTACGTGACCAAGTACTAAGCTAGAGATAATGGAAAAATCATTCTGTTGTGTATAGATTGCAAATGAAAAAAAAACACAAAAAAAAAAAAAAAAAATCAAAACTAAACATCACAATAAGCTGTTTGGCCAACGCATACACAAACTCACCCGATCAACCATTAAACCGCCCAGCGCACACAACTGTCTTCACAATTGCGGTAGACCATCGCCTCTTTATCTATCTATACAACAACAGAGTTATCAAGTTCTACGTATAACTGAACCTGTTGCTTACAATGTGAACGATGTCGATAACACTGAACTGAAAGAATGAATGATGTTTTTGGCCATGATGTTGATTATTTATTGTTTACCTCCTCCTATTTTTCTTCTTCTTCTTGATTTTCAACAAGACTTATGAGAAAATCTCAATGTTATTGACATAAAAAATTATTGCATATTACAGTCGTATGCTATCCCTAGTATATTAATGTTCACTTTCGCTTCGTAACATCTCATCGTGCAATACTTTAAGAGGATATATAAATGATAATGGAATGGCATTTCAGGTGTTTCTATGTTTCATACCATTCTGGAGTTCGATTTCGGCTAAAAGCTACAAATCACATTTGAAGGTGGGCGTGGTTTCTTATAGTAACTAAAATTGAAACAATGCCGAAAATTCGAATGCTTTTGTCAGTCAATAGCTTCTCCTATATAACAAATAAGAAAAGTGTTAGGCATCGAAATGTTACAGATTTAATTTTATTTATTATTATTATTATTATTATTATTATTAATTTCGCCAGAGAAATAAATTCTAAGACTAAACTCTTAAAAGCACTAGCATCCAAGGCTATCGGCTATTATTAAAAACTCTACCGCACTTGAGATTCGAACCCACGACCATTGACTTGCTAGTCGAGATTCCTCGCCTTCGGCTACTCAGACGGATAGATTTAATTTTAAAACGTGTAAAGGAAGAGAGAGAGAGAGAGAGAGAGAGAGAGAGAGAGAGAGAGAGAGAGAGAGAGGGAGAGTGAGATTACAATTCTCTTCTTTTTTATATTGGTACCTATAAAACACATTAAAGTTTTCCCTTTGTGTTAACTTCAAAGCTCCTTACAATATTTTCATTTTTTGACGACAATATATTCCGGGGAAGTTTTTTGCTCATGATACCCAAAACAGTGGAATTATTACTGGTATTTCGTGGATGGGTTTCGAATTCGAAACACATCATCGGCGATCTCCCACTTTTCTGATCGCAAAGGTTCGATGGTAATTAAATAGCTAAGCAAAAAATCAATTGGTACATATATAAAGAGTAATATGTCAACTTCGTCTGTAGAATTTCAAATTGCGCACGCTCTTAAAGCTATTGCTGTAAAGTTTGTTATTTTCATTTAGCGGTGGAAGTTTCTTGAAACGAATATATCACTTATGATATTATAACTTAAGTTAAGTGTGTGCGAATATATCCTGAATGTCTAAAACTTAAAGCTTACGACGTGGAATCATATCCTGAATCGTTTGCAATACGTCTATCCGTCTGAACATGAATTTTTGTGTCCAAACTATAGGTCGGGATCTTTGAGATATTTTGAAGAGACTTTCTACATGGATTAAATCATCTAAATTTCTATTCAATGCAAATCTTGCGTAAGTTTTGGGACATCCCAAGGGAGTTTTTGTATTATACTTCACCCTTACTAGCTAAGGCGCACTGCAAAAAAAAAAAAGGAAAAATGAACTTAGACTAAATGTAACTTAGGTAAATATTTCAATATCCTCGACTTGTTTCACTTCATGTCCCACTTCATGCCTCCCATGCTGCATGTCCGCTAGTCGGTACTTGTACTTGTCTATCCGTTAGGTCATGTTCAGTATTACTATTATGTACGTACCCTACCCACATGTCACCACACACACACACACACACACACACACACACACACCATCCTATATAGACTTAAACAGAGAACTTATTTTGTTTAAAGACACATCCTAAGCACTTTTTCAAAAGAAATAAGCGTTTTAAGGGAAACGAATCGTAAACCTACGTAGATACAAAGCTATTATCATTTACCTTTATTTACACTGTTCAGAATGGTAAATTCCATAAGTGTTGACAACTATCAGTTACTTTTAGCAACATATACTTTGTTTGATTTTAAATCCAATCCTGTTTGTCTATTAAGCCTCACATTGTCACTATATCCGGATTACTTATATTATGGTTCACGTAGCATACACAAAAAACGCAAGGAATTCCTTTTCGTATATACTTTGCCTGCATATACATATACTTATTGTATAGCTATGTAATAAGTGATTTCAGGTATATTTTTCTTTTCAAACAAGTAGGTTGCGATATGTGGGCGTTTGCTCTAAAACTGAAGTTATATTATTTTAACAACTAGTGGATAAGTATCTAGTGTCGTTTCATTTTTGGTTAGCATTAGATGGTAAGTGTATGTGATTGTGTTAATATATGTGAGATTGTAGGAGCGTAAACATATTTTATTTTTTTTTATGTGTGTTTGCGAATTTTCTTTAGAACAAGTTTTTGCACGTTATATAAGGGTAAGTAAGTATAAGAGTTACATTTTGAGTATACGTTTACGTAATCTTATTTGATGCTTGTAATTTTAGGTTAGGTTCACCATACTATTTGTATCCAAAAATTAAAAACGATATAATTTTTCGTTTTTAAATCTCTTCCGGTTTGCTTTTGCGAATGGCTTCACGCAAATGACGTATAACAAACATGTAAGATTCCTTGTTAGCAGTTTCGCCGGGCGTAAGGTATTCGTACCACGATAATCGACGAAAACTATTGACATCATCTTGACTTTGGTCTTTTCTGTTTTGTTGATATTTGATCGATTGATCGGTTGTTTCCGGGTCGTATGCTTAGATTCAAGTCTCATCTCCCCCCTAATAATGCTTTTGATGAACTATTAAGAGTCAGAAATCATCTCCTCGCACTCCTTATAAAATTTGGAAAAAATACTGTTTTTCCGCATGTGAAGCTCTATGTTTATGATGTGAAATTCGACACAGATGTCTAACACAGTACTGCCAGTTTCGAAAGAAGAGTTTACCTGATATTTGATACACTCGTTAAAGTTAAATTTTGCGTTTTTCAACTCGTAGTTACTGCAATTAAAGCTTTTATTTTAGGTAAGCATATATTTACGATTTTATTCAATATTTTAAGTTAAATTTTTACACATTTTAACTTGTAATTACTGTAAATATATGTATAATCCTTTTATTTTATATTTACGTATATATGTTTATTTTATTTTCTGGTTTACGCTCCTAAAGAAAGATTCACGCAAAAAAAAAAATAATAGAAACTGATTCACGACTGCGTCAAACGATGCTAAAGCGGAAACTTTTGGTTTCTACATTGTCCGATGTACACCTGTTCCTTTCGATATTGTACCGCTAACTCTCCCCTATTTCACAGTCCGATCTGCTTTCAACTGCTTTCTTTCTTCTACTCCCTCTCGAATCCCTTGTTTTACGCTGCTTCGGTAATTTATACTTCAGTCCTTCAATGAAGGGAATGGAATATATGTTATTGATGTGATTGATTGAATTGCATAGAGCAAGACTCAAGTTCGCATTGTAAAAACGCACTTTGGGTCTTTATCTTGGTTTACAATTCTTTTTTTTTTTTTTTTTTTGCTTTGGCTACAGGAAATTTCTTTTTGCCTAAGAGAAACGATTTATAGATACAATATCTATTAGCGGTACTTCTTTATCTTTTAAGTCAGCACGGACTAACGGAACCTTCTGTAGTAATAAACACAGATGTCACGTAGAACCTCTTCAATCAAGAAATCTTCCTTTTGCTTGGTAATTAAAATTCACAAGTGCGGTGAAGTTAGCTCTTAAACAAAGCCACAGATAATTTATTTTTTATTCAACATACGCACATACTGTACTGTACATAAATTCCGCCATATATTTCTATATGTAAAATCGTTGCATTTGACATAAAATTAGAAATAATTTTCTTAATATTTTTCTCTTC